GGAATAAAAAAAAATTAAGAAAAGGTAGGCCGAATTCTGACTTTTTATCTGATAACTCAAAAAAAAATTTTTACATTTTGAGTTTACTTCTCACAAAATATCTCACAACATTTTTCTTGGTTTATATTTTGCAATTCTGATTTTTTTCCAGTCACAGAATTAAAAAACAAAAAAATTAAAATATATTTTTAAAGGTAATTGCACAGTTTCTCTCATGATTCATACATTTTCTCACAATTGCAAGAAAAAATCATTTATTTTGTGATAAAAAGTCATAACTGTGAGAAGAAAAGTCCAAATTGTGAGATAAAAAGTCACAATTAACTTTATTTTATTTATTTCATACTTTTGGATAAAACCATCTGTCAAATGTATTATTGCAAATGTAAATTTGATCAGACGGCTACATTTTACAGCCCTTACATTAATGCTTTGCCTGGAAAATTAACAAAAAAAAAATCTAATTCTTCAGACTGAGCTCAAGGTCATTTCAATAGTAAAGCACTATCATAATGTGAAGGCAACAGAAAAATAACAAGATGTTTAAGTTGCATATCATACAGACAAGCAAGCATAAACATCTTGGCAGGAATAAGCTATAAACTGAACCAGACTTTATGACAACAGTCAAAGTCTGACTATGTGACTTGTTGTGAAGTGCAGATATGACTCGTTGTGAAGTGTGGACAATATAATGCCGGTTTTTCTTCACAGAGCCTTATATAAGCTTCAGTCAAATATAGCCACTAGTGACTCAGAGATGAGCACATGACTAAAAAAAGCTCTCAGCTGTCTTAATCATAATACGAAATTAGTCCTTTGAAATTAAAAAATAGATATTAGATAATAGAATAAATTGCAACAGTTCTTACATATTTTATACAGAAAGGATGCAAACTGCTTCAGAAAGATGACGATTATTATATTATATTAATTATATCATATTATTTTATATTATGTATGTATTTAAATTGCAATTGCTCTTACACATTTTATCCAGAAAGGATGCAACCTGCTTCAGAAAGATGATGTTCATAATTCTATTCTATTCCGTTCTGTTCTATTTAAAGAGCAGTTATTCTTCTGTCAATTTCATATCTTGTCAAATTAGTACTTTAATGCTCTCTTAAAATGCATGACTAGTCTTAAATAAATAAGTAAATAAATAAAAAAATAAAACTTTGACAATTTTGCATAGTTCTGTGTAGCTACCTGAAAAATTACAAGACAGGAATAATACACTGAAACTAGGACTGTAGATTTTGTGTTAATTTAGTATAATTTATTTTTATATGATATTTAAAATGTAGAATATAGTATAATTTATTAATGCAATAAAAATTAATATTTAATCATGCCCCCTGACCTGTATATTCCATTATAAGGTATAATATACTGACCTTTCTCAACAAATACTGATATATGAATGAGTATATTATTTTATACTATATTATTATATGTGATTAATTTATGATTTAGATTTGATTGACAGCCCTATTTGAAGCAGGCTTTGGGAGAAGAGAGCAGTCGTGTGCTGCAGGAGCTGATGACGTCTGTCAGCGGACTTCAATTTATGTTTCCATGCTCTCTGTGTACATTTGTCTATTTTAGGTTTTCTATTTTTACACTGCTCTATTTATGTGTTTTATCCACTACGGTTCCCACCTCAAAGCAACGCCGCATCACACACCTATCAGCACTGTACATGCCCACATCCCAATGCATTGTCTGTATTTATTATTGATTTGTTAAAGTGTTTGTATTTATATCCTCTGTGTGCTGGTGTTATATTCTCAGCACTAGGAGTACATGAGACACTACTGTACGTGGTTCTTCATTCACACAGGAGCGTTTCCAAACAGAATAGCAAATATAATGATTTGAACAGCTTTCCAAACACTCCTCTCATCTGCCAGATGGAGAAAAACAGATCTAGTTGATTCAATGCTGCTGCATCGGACTGGAAGGAACAGTCGAACAGAGCAAATACCAGTGTTTAGAATTTTGTCATAATACTGTTAATTGAATATTTGACCAAAACCGAAGGAAATTGGAATAGTTCAATTAGTTTTTTTAAGAAATGACAATTAAAATAATACCTTTATTATTATTATTGATTTGTTAAAGCATTTGTATTTATATCATGTGTGTACTGGTGCTTGTCTTTCAAAAGATTTTATTATTATTATTATTATTATTATTATAACAACAATAAGAGAAAATTGACCAAATTGGCTTGAAATGGGATTAATTAAATTCGTTTTTAGGGAATAAATATTAAAAGATGATGATGATTATTATTATTATTAATTATTATCATCATCATTATTATTATTATTATGTTAATTGAAATTTAGCAATTTTGACAAAAATAGCTGAAAATGGGAATAGTTTAATTCATTTTTAGGGAATTTAAATTATAAGAAAATGAAATGAAATTTAATTATATTATTATTATTATTTAATAATGATAACAATTATATATATATGGAAATAGGAAATAGGAATAATACACTTATTTGTTTAAGGAATAAAAATTAAAAGAAAATATTAAATAATAGTACTATTATTTGTTGTTGTTAATAATAATTACTACTACTACTACTAATACTAATAATAATAATAATAAAAGACACTGTTCATTGAAAATGTTACTGAAATAGCTGAAAATGGAAATAATGTAATTAACTTTTAGGGTAAAAATGTAATATTTTGAGGAGTTGGATTGGTTGGAACACTCAAACAGAACATTTAATAAAAAGAAATGAAAAAAAAAACACGTCATCGTTAAACATTTTAATCAGATGAACCACCTGAAATTGACAAAACGATTGAAATAATTTCTGAAAATCAATTACTCATCAACTCTGAACTATTAATCTTGATCTCACAGTAGGTTATTTGAAAAAAAAAAAAAATTCTGTCTTTTTTTTAAAAAGTAGCCTATTAGCCTTTTTTCATATTCAACAGCAACTGCATTGTGATTGTAATGCTTGATTGTACTCAAAATCACATTAATAGCAGAAACGGTCTGTTATTGTTGGCAGGCTTGAAACAGCCCTCGATTCAACACATGCTCTGCTCCTCAGAGACACAGAAGAGTTGCCTTCACAAATCTCTTTTGTAACAGATCGTCTTTGGCACAGTTCAGATAGGATATACTTCAGTGTGTGACATACAAAAAAAGACAAAGTGGCAGTCTGTGGCCGAGGCTTAATAAGAGCCGGGCAGAGGCCAGCTCCTGGACTGGAAGTAGCTCCTCAGACCGTCCAGGTTAACGGGGGGGAAGAAAGGGCCGATGCGCTTCCGGACCCACCATTTCCCCTGAGCCGCACTGCTGCTGCCCGGCCGCGTGAATTTATAGCGGAAATGCTCTCCTCGTATCCACCTGAAACCACAGACGCATCAAAACCAGCTCACACTGGATCTCATAACGCATGTTTGAGCTCATTCACTTCGGAGGATTTCACATTGCATTCTGAGCAGCTCAACTGTGATGAGAAAAGAGTTCAAGACTTCTTTTCAACATAGACGTGTGTATATAAAGTGACCCCAAAAAGTATGTGAACAATTAAGTTTCACTTATAAGATGCATGACTGTAAATGCCCAGTGTAACAAAATATCAAAGCAGGTGGTTTTTGCATTTTTTATCTCTTTATGTGTTCATATCATTTTAGGGTCATTGTAAACACATCAAAGGTTTTGCACTCTAATTAAGCACTGTTTATATGGACAAGTTTGCCACTGTTACTGTTAACTGAACATTTGACCAATAATAATAATAATAATAAACTGTTAATTACAAAATGAAAATAGCTAGAAATTAGAATTTTTTAGGGAATAAAAAAAACAAATGTAATAATAATAATAATAATATTAATAAAAATTCATTGTTATTATTATTGTTGTTATTATATTGTTAATTGAAATCTTAATTTCAATTAATCTTAATCTTATTATTATTATCATTATTATAACAACAAATAATAATAATAATAATTTACTGTTAATTGAAATTTGAACAAAAAGCTAGAAATGGGAATAATTAATTTTTTAAAGAAAAAAAAATAATAAACAATAATGTTATTTTTCATTCTTATTATTATTATTATTATCAATAATAATAACAACAACGAATAATATAATGTTAATTGAAATGTGACCGAAATAGCTAGAAACGGGAATACTTTAATATAGTTTAAAAGAAAACTAAATTAACAGAAAATATTAAATACTAGCAGTATTATTTGTCATTATTATTAATGTTATATGAATTATAATATTAATATAATGTTAATTACAAAGTGAAAACAGCTAGAAATTAGAATATTTTTAGGGAATAAAAATTAAAAGCAAATGTAATAATAATAATAATAATAAATTATTATAATTATTATATTGTTAATGGAAATCTTAATTTCAATTTCAATTAATCTTAATCTTCTTTTTCTTCTTCTTATTATTATAACAAATAATAATATAC